TAAGGCTAAAGTAGAAAATCAACATAATTTAAAGATTAAGATAGTAAGATATGACTGTAGGGGAAATACTACGGTCAACATACCCCATATAGCCAAATTTCTAGACCTTTTGCAAAGTTTTTACAGAAAAATGGCATAGTTACCCAGTACTCTACATCGGGCGAGCCTCAGCAGAATGGAGTAGCTGAAAGACGCAATCGTACATTGATGGATATGGTGAGAAGTATGATGAGTTACTCCACTTTACCGATAAGTTTATGGATGGAGGCGTTAAAAACCGTCATTCATATTCTCAATCGAGTACCAAGTAAATCGGTGTCCAATACACCATATGAGTTGTGGATAGGAAGGAAACCTTCACTTAACCATTTACATGTGTGGGGCTATCCAACTGAGGCTAAAGTATTTAACCCAAACATTGTGAAGCTAGACTCCAAGACAGTTAGTTGCCATTTCATTGGCTATCCAGATAAATTAAAAGGTTATCGTTTCTATTGTTCTGACAGATATACGAAGTTTATAGAAACAAGACACATTGTGTTCTTGGAGGATGAGATGGTCAGGAGGAGCATGGTAGTGCGAGAAATTAACTTTGAGAAGAGCGGGTACATGTGCCCACTCTAATGGTTCAGGAAACATTTTTCTCGCTACTTGTTGATGCTGCACCAACAGTGTAGGACACTGTAGTGATAGCACCTGTTGTTAGTTCTCCCATGGCGACAATAAATAAACATGAGGAACCTATCCTTTAGGATCCTATAGAGCCCATTGTCGCACATGAGGAAGAGCAACAATAGCCCCATATGGAACAAACACCAACTAATGAGGCCCCTAGAAGGTTTTAATGAGCTAGAAAATTAGCTATTCCTGATGACTACGAAGTCTATGTTAGTGAAGAATTTCAAATGGAGGGTGATCCCTCCTCATTTGATGAAGCCATGAGAAGCGCTCACTTGTTGAAGTGGCTTGAAGCCATGCAAGATGAAATAAGATCCATGAGCACCAACAATGTTTGGGACTTAGAGAAAATTTCTAATGGAGCCAAGACAGCAGGCTGTAAATGGGTCTACAAAACTAAATATGACTCCAAAATAAATGTGGAAAGGTTTAAAGTGTGACTTGTGGCGAAAGGCTTCTCGCAAAGAGAAGGAATAGATTACAATCAGATATTTTCTCCAGTCTCATGCAAGGATTCTTTTTAATCATAATGATATTAGTGGCACATTACGATTTATAATTACATCAGATGGATATAAAGACGATTTTCCTTAATGGGAATTTGGATGAAAATGTTTGTATGGCACAACCAAAAGGTTTTATCGTGAAAGGAAAAGAACGTATAGGATGTCGCATGAAGAAATCCATTTACGAATTAAAACAAGCCTCTAGACAGTGGTATTTAAAATTTGATGAAACAATAAGGAAGTTTGGGTTTAAAGAGAATGTAGAGGACAATTGCATTTATACAAAGTTCAAGAATGGGAAATTTGTTTTTCTAATCCTGTATGTGGATGACATCTTACTCGCTAGTTATGATGTTAATAAACTACTAGAGACAAAGAAGTTCTTGTCCTCAAAGTTTGATATGAAAGATCTCGGTGAAGCTTCGTTCATTTTAGGAATAGAGATTCACCGAGATAGGAGAAGAGGGGTTTTAGGATTATCGCAAAAGGCATACTTAGAAAAGGTTGTAAAGAAATACAGTATGCATGCGTGTAAGCCTTCACCTACTCCCATAGTCAAGGGCAATAGTTTTGGGGAATTCCAATATCCTAGGAACCAATATGAGATCGATCGAATGAAAGCGGTTCTATATGCTTCAGCTATCGGAAGTTTACAATATGCTCAAGTCTGTACACGCCCTAACTTAGCTTTTGTTACCATGATACTTGGCAGATATCAGAGTAATCTAGGAATAGAATACTGGAGAATGGTAAAAAAAGCTTTGTGTTATGTGCAAGGCACAAAAGGCCTCATGATAACGTACAGAAGATCTGATTCCCTACATATAGAGGTGTATTTAGATTCAGATTTTACGGGAGATGTAGATGATAGAAAATCCACATTAGGCTATGTATTTACTGTCGTAGGAGGAGCTATATCGTGGAAAAGCTCTAAGCAAACTGTCACTGCATCGTCCACGATGTATGTCGAGTTTGTAGCATGTTATGAGGCCACAGGGCAAGTGAACTGGGTAAAGAAATTTATGCCCGGGTTGAAAGTAGTCGATGACATTCATAGACCACTCAAGTTATACTACGACAATGAGCCAGCAATATGTTATGCTCATAATAATAAGTCAAGTTGTGCTGTCAAACACATTGACATAAATTTTATGTTGTGAAAGACAAAGTCCGGGATCATAATATTAGTCTCGAGCATGTAAGTACAAAGAAAATGCTTGCGAATCCGCTTACAAAAGGCTTACCGCCCAATGTGTTCAGAGAACACTTAGTCGGTATGGGTTTACGGGAAAGGCAATGATCCTTGGATAATAAGGGCCTAGTTGAGAATCTGTTTCAAAACAGAGAGGTGTATTGTAGCTGTTAATCCAATGGTAGTAACTGTTGTGACAATTCATACTCTACACACACGAATCTGTGATGGAATGGACTGAGATAAGTATTTTAGTTTCAAGTCATAAAATGAGATCAAGTGGGAGAATGTTAAATTGATCTCCATCGGCTCGGTCCAACGACCGGTCGGACCCTAACTCGTGCCCTGATTGGGGACGTCCAGCCGCACACATGGCTGGTGGACCTCCATCGCGTAGCGCTATAAAGAGAAGGTGGTGGCTAGGGGCTCAAGGTACGAGGTTCGCCGCCGCCAAAAGAACCCCACCTACAACCCTAATTCGATCTAGAGGGGAGCGCTGACAGCGACGGGAAGCGCCATGCCTTCGCCGCTGCCGGGACACCGCCGCCACTGGACCGTCATCACTGGACTTCACCGCCGGGACGCGGCCGTCACCGGACACCGTCGCCATGGCCACCTCCTCCACCAAGCCCGATGGTCTGCCTCTCTACATCCCTCTCTCTCTAGTTCTCTCTCTAGGACGATCTACTTGTTTATTCTGAATGAAAGGGAAATCACCCAATGATCTATGCCTAAATGATTCTAGATTTCTAATAGTCATGAGCTTGCCGGATCATATCTTGGGTCTCCGTGGCCAGGGTGGGAGAAGCGGGCTCACTAGATCTTTGAGAGGGCGGTGCGGCGAGAAGGTGGTAGTGGCGGAGGACGTAGGCGAGAAGTCTTAGTGGCATCCGCAGGGCGCAAGTGAGCAGTCGGTGGCGGCGAAGGGCGCAGAGAGAGAGAGAGAGAGAGAGAGAGAGAGAGAGAGAGAGAGAGAGAGAGAGAGAGACTTGTGAGTAGCCTTGAGAGAGATAAAGAGTTGGGTGTGGCGTGAAGGAGGAGTCAAGTGAGAGATAGAGTTTTTGTTGGGTTGGGCTAGAATTAAGATAGGCATGCCTCTTGATTGGTCATGGCCATCATTTTTGAGATAGACCTTAGACTTAAGAGGCCTACCATGCATGTTAGTTGATTTTAGAGGCGGGTGTCTTGAATGAAATGAGCGCTTCTGAGAATCGTTAGGAATTTGAGGAGACACCCTCTGTTTTAGCCCATCGTCTCTGTTAACGAGGAGCCTTATAATTTCCTAAAATCTTCATTCGATCTAGTTGTGCAATCTCCCTGGCATGGATTAGACTCGTGTTTCACACCCTCCTATTTGATCCGTAACGGCTCGCCGGCCGGCTGCCTTGTACTTTAGCTCTTGCCTTTTCTTTTCGTACAATAATGGAGTTCACCACCAGCAGGGGATCTTATTGATGTTTACTTGTCGGGCCCATGACTGATGACGGTTCACGAAAAAAAATAAAACAACAACAACTTTGAAAGCCAAGCCACACCGTGTCGTGGTTAGTTGCCACAGCTCGCGCACGGTGGGAACGTGGGGTTGTAGACTGAAGTACTACTCAGACAGCTTTCTCTCCACAGCACGGTAGCACACGAAGCAACGGCTTCGCCGTGACATCCTGCGCGCGATTCCATATGGAAAAGACGAAATCTCGCGATCGCCGCGCCTTTTCGTGTTGACGAGCGGCAAAGCGATCGTGCCCACACAGAAGCGGAGGCGCGGCAGCACATGAGAAAAATCCCGGCTCTGGCGCACTGCAAAGAGAAAATAAAACGTAAGAAAGCCGACGGCACTCCCAATTAGCGAACTCTTGGCAATTTGCGCATGAGCCTACCTTGCCCAATAGAGTAACAAGCATGAATCACACGTAAACGGCCGAAAAGCATCATCTGTCCGCCTTTGTGCGTTTTGGTCGCCAGGTGAAGTCCTTTGGTTGGCAATTTGCCACGAACAGCCATCATATCATCGGCAACCAAGAAGGTAATAACGGGATCCAGATCGGAGGACAGGTGTCATTTTTCTCAATCTAATGTAATTGGGATTATTTTACAGTGCATTTTCTGATTTTTATCACACTTTGATACCTTTAACCTTGCCATGGAACTTTTTAGTAGTTTTGCTTCCACTCTCAATGAAAAATTGTAGTGCATCACCACATGTTTTGTTTTCTTCGATTCTTTCATGCTTTGAGAACCGACAATTTTTATATATATTAAAAACACCAAAAGCTTGAAGTAAAAAAATGTTTCAATTATGCACAGTTCGGGGCAGGGTTTCCACCGTGTCTATAAGAACTCTCATAGGGGTTCAAGACAAGGTCCATGCCTCTCAAGTCTCAACTACAAAGCTTATCTCACTGGCATATTATTCACTCATACAAAACTTGAGGCACAGCTAAACTCCTCCTTAGTATATCATCCAAGCACCATCATAAGCTCTCCACATCATCCGGATAAGCAAGAGCGCCCCCGACCTCCTGAAGAAGGCGGTCACGTCCGTCAAGTAGTTTCTAAATTGCTCATCATCACTGGCTCTCTGCGCCGAAGGTTGGCGATGGTCTGTGCGATCTCTCGCCAGATCCATGGGCTTACCCCATCTCACCCGGGAGAAGCAGGCTGGTGTGGAGCACTGGCAGCAAGGCTCTCAGATCACGGAAGGCGATGGTGAGGAGCCGCCAGCTGGTGATGATCATGGTGTTAGGGCTCATCCTAGTCTGTTTGAGGTGGCCATGTTCGAGGAAGATTACCATGACTACCCCGACTGGACCAATTCCCTCTTCGATGATGATCATTGTTACAAGAATGAGGAGGACGTCGATGACGACGACCACGATGATCTTGATATTCTTGACGCACTCGATGAGCCATCTGTCATCGAGATCATAAGGACCAAGCGGGAGGTTGAAGGTCTGGAGTTCAATATGGACGATGACATCGATGAGGCTTGTGACATGTTCATTAGGAGGTTCCGAAGCCGGATGAACAGGAGCTTTAGTGATTTTTGTATTAGGGAATAGTACTGACAAATTTGAGTGACAATATATAGAAGATTGGATGACAATTTTAGTAGTAGTAGTAGTTAATTGGGGACGAAAGGAAATGAATACCTGTTTTCAACACATAAACATATTCTGGAGATTGGAGGTGCATATCTGCTTTCGAAGTTTTTAGCTTTAGTCTACTACAGTATGTGTTTTATCAGCTTCATATAGCTGCTGGCCTTCAATATGTACGTGTGGACCTAAAATGACTATGCATAAAACACTATACTAAAGAACTTCAATGCCAGTACCACGTACATGTAATTGCCCCTTTGTTGTTGATCACTCATGACTTCATGAGTATATGTCAAGTAAGTGTATATTTGCATCGATCGATATATAATTTGCCTTTGCCCCCAATCTTTATAGAGTACAGATTTGAGAACTCTGAATTGGGATCCAATCTCTGTACGGTACATTTCCTAAATAAAAAAAATTCTCCCAAGCAACAAGAAGATGGTGCGCTGAAACCTATGTTGCAATGCATATTATTTCAACTGTTTTTATATTTTGTGAGGCATGTTGCAAGTGTTATATTTGATGTTGTAAATCCTCAAGTAGATCGGAATGTTTGCAGTCTGATGTTGAAGAATCCCTGACACATTTGTTCTTCCACTGTCCATTTGCCATGTGTTGCTGGAACACCTTGAGTTTAGCTCTTCCAAATGTTTCATCAAAGACCTTTTTTCATGGAAATTATTGTGTCTATGTGTTGGGCTATTTGGACTGCTAGAAATGATGTCATTTTCAGGACCAACAGCACTCACTTGTTCGTTGCAGAGTGTATTTATTTTGATCTTGCATATGTTTCACACACATGTTGCAAGTGTTTTTTATCTCTTTGGATGTTACATATGTTTTATTTAAATGACATTAAAGTGTTTTCATGTGTTTTTCATAAAAATTTCCTCATGTTATGTTTCAAGTGTTTGAGCAATTATTAGATGAGATTGAGATTGATATTGATGCAGCATCAATAATCAATAACTTAGGTAACAAATTTTGTTTCATCTAGATGTTTTAAAAAACAGATATTCTTACTGTAGTTATATTAAAGTATCTTTCTCCCGGTCGCTTGCGACATGCGAAACAACAACACATAAGTTGCCTTGGAACAGGGTTTCTCCTCCTCTCGCGCGACACCAATCCAAATGTCCCCCTCTATCTGCTCATCACTGTAGAAAAATCCGCCGCCCCACTCACGCTCTCTTTGGCTGGATCTGGCTGGCGTTTGGCTCATCCCATGCTCGCCGCTGCTGCCCACGCTCATCTCGGCTGGGGCAGAGGCTGCCCAACTCACCGCAGCCGCGGTGGAGCTCGCCCGCGTGTAGCTCAGGGCAGCCCGGGCGGAGCCCGCCGCACATCTCTGCGCGCACCTGCCCACTGCGTCTCTGACGTCCGGACGCTAGCAAGCCCGATAAGTAAATATCTTAGGTCTTCTCCATGGCCATGCATAACACTTGTGTTTCAGACCCCCCTAACCACTATCGATTTGTGACGGCTCGGTTGCTTTAATTATACTTTAGTCCTTGCATTTTCTTTTTGGCTAATAATGGAGTTCGTTCTTCTGTCTTCACTATCAACAGCGATCATGTTTTGTTTACATGTTGCAGGTGTTACATGGATGTTGATAAGTGATCATATTGCAATGGCTGTACACGATTCAGCGACAACAAATTTGAAAGCCACATGCAAGTGTATTTATTTTGATGTTGCATATTTTCCACATATGTTGCAAGTGTTTTATCGGTGGTTTTGCAATGTGTAAGTGTTCTCAGATCAAGACTAGATGTATGTTTCAAGTGTTCACAGACCACCACTACTAAATCTTAATGGAGACGGGCAAAAATAATTAATGAAGGCGGGCATTGCAACCGCCTCCAATCAAAGGTCACGGTTAATCCATGATTAACAGAGATGGCGGAGGCGGTTGCTTTGTCCGCCTCCGTAAATCAAAATCAAATAATAAAAAAGCTGAACCCAACGCCAATCCATACGGGCTCGACATGACCACAGCCATGTCGTGGTTACTTGCCACATAAGCTCGGCCTCGCCAATGCCGGCAAAAATAATTAATGAAGGCTAGATCCGCCACCACTAGAGCACCATGATTAGCGCAGATGGCACCGGTTGGCGCGTAAATCAAAATAAAATAATAAAAAAGCTAAACCCAACGCCAATCCATACGGGCCTGACATCGAGCCCGGCCTCTCCGCCACCGTCCTAGATCCGCCACGTCCCACCACCGGATCCGCCATGGATTGAGGCCGCTCACACTGCCGCCCACCATCCCTCCATGGATCGCCATGGATTGAGGCCGCTGCTGCCGGATCTGCCATGGATCGAGCCCGCCACCGTCGGATCTGCCACGGATCGAGCCCGCCGCCATCGGATCCGCCATGGATCGAGCCTACCGCCGCGCAATTCCACCGGATCGTGCCCATGCGTGCTGCCACCGCTGAGCTCGCGCCGCCACCTCCGAGCCCATGCCATGGTGTAGGGCTCCTCGGCACCATCCGGCGCCACGCCGGAGGGCTACACGACCCCTCCCCGCTGCCCTCGCGAGCCGCCATCGGGGCGCGAGTGCCTCCCGCCATCGTAGGAGAGGGAGAGAGAGGGCCGAGAGAGGAGGAGAGGTGGGGTGGTGTGGTGGTTGGTGTGGCGCTAGTGGGGAGAGAGGGAGGCATGGGGAGGGAGTGCGGTGGAGAGGGCCGCGCTCATGTCGGGGAGGGAGTGGGGCGTTGCGAATACAAGGTTGATATGTGCTCTTGTAGTTTGTTTTGTGATGAGTGATTGTCAATATGATCCATGACCTAGGTTGAGTTTGTGAGCTAATCATGGCGTGAGTTGGGTTGTGCAACATGTCTCTTGGTTTATGGTGTGCAGGTGTGGAGCTCGGAGGCGGTGGTCGACGGTGAGGTGAAGGTCAAGTAGGGACGTGTCGTACCGATGAACCGGGAGTGGTGAAGGATGGACGTGAGGCTTGGACTGAGGGACCAGGAGGCCGAGTGACTAGCCACGGTGGCTGACATCTGGGACATCGATAAGCACAAGTGTATATGGGAGTGACCATGTTGACTGAGTCAAGACAGCCGGTCGAGGACGGCGGTGACACGTGTCGAGTGGTGGGGGACGCGTATGGAGTACGCTGCTGCAGGCGGTTGGTGGTTTGGGCCTCAAAACCATTGGTGGCCAGTTTCATGGGTTTGGGCCTCAAAACCCGGGCGGAGGTTCTAAGAAGGAACGGATGGCATGTGGCGGCATCGAGGAGTTCGCGTCGAGGCAAAGCTATCTCATGAAGGGCACGATGGCCGTCGAATGAAGATTACCTCGGGTTGGACCATAGTGCCCTTGGGTTAAGTGGTTTGACTCAAAAAATATCTAAGGGCAAAACTGAGATTGTGTAATAGCCCTATTAAATAGGATGATGGAGCTCCCATCTTCCTCACCTCTTTCATTTTGCTTCATCCTTCTCTAGGTTTTCCCTTCCCCTTAGGTTTTCTTGTGAGAGAGGTCCACAAATTGGATAATTTGTGTAAGAACCAAAGATTGCAGCAGGAATGGAGGCCCTAACCTCCTCGTGTCCTCCGGGATTCGATTTGTGAGTTGTTCTTATGAATCGCGTTTGTGTTCTTCGCATACTTCCTTTGCCCCTTTTCTTGTGTGGTTCGATTTGTCATTTTGAGACCGTTTTGATTCGTTCCTTTTGCACTGAGATGAACTAGGATGTGAGTTGAGCCTTTTCACAAAGCGATTTCATCTAATTCCTCACGAGTTCATAGATCGGGGCGAATCAAGCTCTAGGGTTGGAAAACCGGTGTTTTTCGTGTTCATCCAATTTCCCATTGATTGGCTTCAACTTGGGCGATGATCTCATGGAGGTAGCTCACCTATTTCCTTGCTCCGGGCATTTTTCGGGAGACTCTATTCATGCTAATTTTGTGACTCGCGGACAGTCCGTTCCTGACCCCCAGACAGTCTGACATTACTATTCACATCACGAGTAGAAGGTCTTCTTTTGGTCGTGTTTTGCTGCTCTGAACGCCAGATAGTCCGGGGCTACTGCTGAAGCGTGTTCAGAACTATTTTAGCAAGTTCATTTTCTGGTATTTGATTTGCGGACAGTCCAGGATTCAACCGCGGACAGTTCGTCGTTCTTCTTTCTGCCTAGGTCAGAACTATTTCTCATCGTTCATACCGGTCCTCAACTCTGGATAGTCTGGGACCAGACCCGCGGACAGTCCGGGCTCCCTATGATAGATAGTCTGAGCCTGTGCAGATTGTGCTATTTTCTCTTGTTCTTTCGAGCACTTGTTTGCATCTGTTCTCGGTTGATCCACTGTACCTCTTAGTCATCACCAAAGGTACCCAACCACCCATTGGCTTGTGATCATACCGTTCTCTAGTGCCTTTGCTCTTGGGTCATGATTTTGGGACAACGGCTTAAAGTTTCGAAAGAAATTTGGGGCTCTCATTCACCCCCTCTGGTCGTTGTTTTCAGTCCTTCAATTGGTATCGGAGCTGGTTATGGATCATTCCACCTTAATCGGTCCGTGATCCACGAAGGCGACATGGAGCATGGTTCTAGCAAACCACCATTCTTCAATGGAACAAACTACCCCCATTGGAAGATTCACATGTCGGCACATCTTTAGGGAATTGATTGGAAAGTTTGGGAGATTTATGAGAATGCTAATTACGTTGTGCTTGATGCTCGCAACACTCAGGATCAAATTGATCAACACAACACAAATAGGAAGGCTCGCAGTGTTCTCTTTTCGAGTCTTTCGCTTTCTGAGTTTGAGAGTCTCCGATTGCACGATTGCTCGAGAGATCTGGGTGAGGCTTTAGAGCTATCATGAGGGAACCACACAGATCAAAGCCAGACTCTTTAAGACATACAAGCAAGAGTATGAGAACTTCTCTCAGTTGGATGGATAGTCTGTCGATGCCATGTTCTCTCACTTTCAGACGAT